GGTCTTGCTAACTTGCAGGAGGAGAGAGGCGACTAGCGAGCCGCGGTGTGATAATCTGCATCCTGCAAGACATGAGATTTTAATTCATAAGGTTAAATGGTACAGAGAATGATGAATGCAGGTTTGCTATTACCCATAATCCCCACATCCCAAGCCAGTCCTGGCAAGTGACCAGTAAGCGCGAAGCTCGATAATGGTCAGGACACGCAAACGGTTAATCTAATTGCACCAGGACAGATGAACGGTAATGTGATATTCCGACGGCATCATTACAAGACGATAGCGGGAACGAGGCCCCATAGAGCAGACATCATTCCATCCCGCCATCTATTTGATGGGACACAATGCATCTTCTATGGACGATTTAGATATAAAGTTATTTTCTCCGCTACAGATATTCGGAGGTAAGTGTCATTAGCCAGGCGGCGGCTCCATTGCCCGTTCGGCGTGGTTTGAGTACAGAAAGCGCGTCTGGTCTCCTCCTTTTTTTTTTTTTTTTATGTTGCCCGTGCCTTTTATAGATTTAAAGATGTGTAATTCTTACATCTATTTTATTGTTATTAGTGGCGCGGTGACTTACAGCTCTCAAGTAATTTCTGCTGCATTGCGCAGAAAGAGCCGAGATCGCCGTCCTTTAAAAATCGCCGTCGCTTATTAACCCCGGTTTTTTAAGCCTAAACCGCGAGTACGTCTCCACAGCAGAGTTGGCCATAGCAACCAGTCGCCGCGCATCGTTTACTGATGAAAAAAGATGGATGATATAAATAGGCTGCAGCGTGATCGTTTTGTATCCTTCAGGACATTTTAATTGCCAAGCGGTTTTGTATAAAGCCACACAGGTAAAGATGAATGCAACTTTGCTGTTGCTTACCATCTCACGCTTCCAGACCAGTCCTGTCCAGTGACCTTCCATGCAGCACAGTAGTGGTCAGGACCCTTAACCACTTCAGGACCTTAGGATGTACCGGTACGTCATGGTCTTGAAGTGGTCATACCAAGGTCAGGGCTGCTGCCTCACCCGCGGTCAGGGCTGCTGCCTCACCCGCGGTCAGGGCTGCTGCCTCACCCGCGGTCACGCGCCAGAGTAGATATCAGGGGTCAAATAGACTCCTGATGTCTAGATAAAGAGAACCTGTCACTTTCAAAAGCTATCCACATAGGGGCTTTTTATCCCCTGTGTGATAGCAATAAAGTTAAGTGAAAACAAAAGTTATGGTGGGGAAAGCGGCGCAGTGATAGGCAGCATAGATCGACCAGACATGGAGGAGGGCACACTTGTAAGATAATTGTGCCATAATGTGCAAAAATATGCTAGGCATGCTTTCAAGTTGTGGCCAAATTTCACCCACTTTGCCTCCATTTTAAATATAGGTAACTGTGCTCCATAATGAACCACTTCTAGACTTTGGACTTATAACATACGCCCAAAGAGCCTAGAGGTACACAGGATGTATGTGGTATGACCCGTCCTTTCACCTGCTGCTGCTCCCCCACCCCTGCTGTCAAAATGACAACTGGATCTTACTTCTGAGCAGTATATTTAAAAAAAAAAATCCTTTAAATACCTTTTTTAATTAATTCCTTTTCTGGTCACATGACCACTTTGCGCTATCACTGATCTGAGCAGCGGGAGGGACCATTCTGCCCTGCTGTTAACTGCAATGGCAGGGGGAGCCCACCGTCCATCAAATGCCCTTACCCACCCCATCAGGCAGTGTTGCTGGTGACATAGGCCGATCAGGGCAGGAAAGGGTGTTGCATTACAGTCCTCCAAGTCAACTCTGAGTGGGTGGGTCTGTATGCCGTAGTCAGTGCACCAGTGTCGTAGATGTAGTGCTAAATGATTCCCGAGGAGAAAAAGCTCACAGCAGCACACCTAGTAACTATGCAGGGGATGGCTGTAATGTTGCCTCGAGCTCTTTGTAGATTTCCGGGGAATGCATTACCTTTTTGTGTCATGGCACGCCTGTACATTGGGCTCCCATTCAAATGGCGGTGCACCTAGCACTCGGTACGGCATCAAAGGTGCACTTAACGGGCGCTGAGGCAATGAGATTTAGGAGGTAAATGGGGGGGGAGATGCATGCAGAATTTTGAGGATATTTTTCAGTTTTAAAATCAGAATAGATCATCGTTCACATCGTTATGTTCCAAGATGGCCTGCGCGCACAATGAATCTTTCCCAGAAAGCAGTTTTTCCCTTTAAGAAAAGCGATTTCCCCGGCACGGCTTTCTCATGGATTTATTTCCTGGGAACAGGTTGCTTTAATAATTGATCAGCTCTGCCTTA